TGGTCTGCCTTTGTATGATCCAGAAGCCTTGGTGGCTCGACAGCCAGTTTCTCTTTGGTAGGGCTTGCAACATCGCTTCAAAGGTATCGCCTACAAGAAGGAGCTGTTTACTTATCGCCCAAGGCCATTCTTGGTTGGATGGGAGACTAGGTACTTCGCTACCTCGAGTACATCATCACAAACCTTCTCCACATCTGCGCTGCCACAATCTCCCAGCGAGGGATTAGCAAACAGCCCATGTCTCACCGCCCCAAAGGAGAATTCATCACAGGCAAGCCCGCGCCGGACATGCGCAGAGGACTCTCCAGAATGGATCCACTAGCATTGACGTCTGACAGATGCACCCTAGTTTGGTATTCCGAGCGAACTTGGATAAGGGGAATACACCACAGGCAAGAGCCCGCCTCTTACAGCTTCGAATAGCCAGTGCAGCACGCCGGACAAGCGCAGAAGGTTCCTCAGTCCCTCGTGAGGGTAATATGCATCGGAGCCCGAAAAGTGGCGGTCGAAGGAAAAAAGTGAAGGGAAAAGTAGAAGGGACGAAATCCGAGTTGGCGAAACCTGTATCGCCGTCACGAGCGAGTCGAATTGTTATTAGCGCGCGCCCGATAAAAATGACACCCTTTATAGAACTTGCCAGGGAGGCATAACTGCCCCAGATGGAGAAATGGATTGTACTGAGGCATATCTTGGGGTGGCATAACTGCCCCAGATGGAGAAATGGATTGTACTGAGGCATATCTTGGGGTGGCATAACTGCCCCAGATGGAGAAATGGATTGTACTGAAGCATATCTTGGGGTGGCATAACTCATAACATTCCAGATAGAGACTATGGCATATCGTTCCCTCATTTTTAATTGAAGCCTATAGAGTTGCATAAAAATCGTTCGCTTCGCTCAAGTCAGCAAGATATGCTATGGCATATCGTTCCCTCAAATTTAATTGAAGCCTATAAAGTTGCATAAAAATCGCCTCAGTTTATTCCCCTATGATATCATCACTCCACCATCGATTCAAATTCCGCTCCTCCTCCTCTCCCTCCTCCATCAGAGCTTTCGCCTCCACCAAGTTCGACCCACCACCACCCTTTGGTTCAGGAACTCAACAAGATATGCTATGGCATAGCGTTCCCTCATTTTTAATTGAAGCCTATAGAGTTGCATAAAAATCGTTCGCTTCGCTCAAGTCAGCAAGATATGCTATGGCATATCGTTCCCTCATTTTTAATTGAAGCTTAGAAAGTTGCATTAAAATCGCCTCAGTTTATTCTCCTATGATATCATCACTCCACCATCGATTCAAATTCCCCTT